AATACAATCAAAGTAATTAAATTACGTAACTCGATAATAAAAATTAATTAAAAATTTAAAAACTCATTAAAACTCATTAAAAAACGCATTAAAATTACGCAACTAGGTCAAAAATTAATTAAAATTTTAAAAACTCATTAAATCTAGTTAAAAAACGCATTAAAATTACGTAACTAGGTCAGTGATTACGTCACAAAGTCACTAATTACGTCACAAGGTCAATGATTACGTCACAAGGTCACCAAAAGGTGACTCACCCTTCACTCCTCCGCCAACGCCAGTTGGCGTAATATTTTACTATATGTCTTTGCGCCTTCACCCTTCGCTCCTCCCCATCCCGATGCGCCAGGCTGGGAGTATTTTGCTATATGTCATTGTCCATCCCGCGCCTGCTCCTCCCGAGTATTTTACTATATAACCTTTGCGCCTGCGCCTTGACTCCTCCGCCAAAAATGATAACCAAAAGTGACCTAATATACTACTCACGTGCGAATACGTATGTTCTCAATGTTTATGTTAGCTTTTGGAAATATCGGCAGAAATAAAAAAAACTATTGTACTTCGAATAGCTTTCATAGAAATTCATAAAAGTACACAAATAATAGTTTTGAAAATCCCGAAAATATACAGAAGACTAGAAATGTACAACAGAAACTATTTCAAAAAGGGAAAACCAACTCTAACTTGGAAAACACCTAGAGCTAAATATAACACCACAGCTGAGTTAGAAAACTTGAGTGACTTGCAAAGCCAGTTAGAACTGGATAGTCGGAGGGTAAATAAAACAAGAACGGCTACTCGTTTGTCCCTACTCGTTTTGTGTCCCCCGCCCCTCCCGGAAAATTTAGCCCACATGACGGAGAAAAAAGAAACACTGCTAAGAGACCGAATAGGCACAAACAACCCACACAATAGATTTTAACTTTTTGTCAACCTTTTAACATAAGGATTAACCTTATACCTAACACATAACCCAATTCAATGAACTGTTACCTCATACCCCCAATCTACAATAAGCCTACCTGCTACAAATGTTACAAATAGAGTGCTGACACTAAAATGTTAAAATAGAGTGCTGACATTAAAATGTTAAAATAGAGTGCTGACATTAAAAATGTTACAATGTGCTGACATATGTTTTATTTAATTCGGTACCGGATTACGTAAGTGTCCCAATTAACACCGTTTAAATGGATTACACAACTGCTATAATTAGCAGCTTATTGGCTGGCCTAACCTCGGCTGGAAATGTGTTTTAGTGGGGCAAAGATCGACCCCACCCCCTAAAACACACACACCACGGACAAAATTCTTGGAAGACCTGTCTTTTTTATTAGAAGTTTTTATTTCATGTTATGGGTGTTCACTTATTCGTAAGCGGTTCTAGTCTATCAACTTGCGAGGTATCATATATATATATATATATATATATATATATATATATATATATATATATATATATATATATATATATATATATATATATATATATATATATATATATATTATATATATATATATATATATATATATATATATATATATATATATATATATATATATCGTTGGTCACCGGCATATTTCCTGGCTGTCCCCCATGACAAGTCCTCCCTTTGCCTTCCATGCTTTCTTTCTCAGTTTAGCGCCATTCCTGCTATATCATCTGGATTCATTTTTAGGACGCACCCTATCCAGAGCCATCTTCTTTATTCAATTATTTCAAATACAGCATCAATTTCCATCTCTCCAAGTAGTCTATCATTGGAGTGGTTGTAAAGCCTATGTGTGCCTTTATCTTCCCTTAAAATTAATTCATTAATTGAATAGTTGAATGAAATAAAAGTATAGCAACAGGTGCCCATTCATTACTCTAGCTTTTTCACTAAGCACATTCAACTTTTACCTCAAACCAAACCGAATGACTTTTTTTTATTAGATTTTTGTAAATTAAAGAACAGATACTCACTTTTAATCAGAGAATATTTTTACAGTGAGTTTATTCCCTTTATTTTGCATATTACTATTAAATTGTTGTTGTTAAGAATCTCTAAATTTACATTTAGTGCGTGCATGAGAGAAGACAATCAAACACTACATTCTACTTATACAACCTAATAATACAACCTACCACTACACTCTACTATTACAACCTTCCACTACAATCAGAGGCGTAGCGGGGGGGGGGGTGTGGACCGCACCGGGTGACACCATTAAGTCACAGGATGTTTTAAAAACTCTGGCAAAACGCCATGAGATTGAACATATATTGAAGCAAATCGCATCTAATCTCATTCAAGCTTTGTGGTAAAATAAACAATTGAGTTAAACCAGAATCGTCACATCAGTTTGGTAGTATTTATTTCCAATATGTTAAAACTAATTAGATTTGTTATTGACATTTTATTAAACTGGACACGTTGTACTGCAAACTTGTTGGTTTGGACTAGTTCAAAGTACTGCGAAATGCTGTTAAGTCTAGGTAAAGCTAAAGCCAAATATAGTTTAATGTGGTGTTATGGCCAAGTTTGTCTTCATTTGTCGAGTTGCTACAAAATGCTAAGTTTATACTAGATCGAGAGAATGCAATATTCTAAGTTCATTCTAGATCGAATAACTTCAATATGCTAAGTTCATTCTAGATCTACCGACGTGGTGTGGGCTCATGACTTGATGTGGGTTCATGACTTGGTGTGGGCTTATGACTTGGTGTGGGCTCATGACTTGATGTGGGCAAATAACTTGATGTGGGCTTATAGTGTGGGCTCATGACTTGGTGTGGGCTTATAGTGTGGGCTCATGACTTGATGTGGGCTTATAATGTGGGCTTATGACTTGATGTGGGCTTATGACTTAGTGTGGGCTCATGACTTGGTGTGGGCTCATGACTTGGTGTGGGCTCATGACTTGGTGTGGGCTTATGACTTGGTGTGGGCTCATGATTTGGTGTGGGCTCATGATTTGGTGTGGGCTCATGACTTGGTGTGGGCTTATAGTGTGGGCTCATGACTTGATGTGGGCTTATAATGTGGGCTTATGACTTGATGTGGGCTTATGACTTAGTGTGGGCTCATGACTTGGTGTGGGCTCATGACTTGGTGTGGGCTCATGACTTGGTGTGGGCTCATGACTTGGTGTGGGCTGATGACTTGGTGTGGGCTCATGACTTGGTGTGGGCTCATGACTTGGTGTGGGCTTATGACTTGGTGTGGGCTCATGATTTGGTGTGGGCTCATGACTTGGTGTGGGATTATACTGTGGGCTCATGACCTGGTGTGGGCTTATAGTGTGGGCTCATGACTTGATGTGGGCTTATAATGTGGGCTTATGACTTGATGTGGGCTTATGACTTAGTGTGGGCTCATGACTTGGTGTGGGCTCATGACTTGGTGTGGGATGATGACTTGGTGTGGGCTCATGACTTGGTGTGGGCTCATGACTTGGTGTGGGCTCATGACTTGGTGTGGGCTCATGACTTGATGTGGGCTTATAGTGTGGGCTTATGACTTGGTGTGGGCTGATGACTTGGTGTGGGCTGATGACTTGGTGTGGGCTCATGACTTGGTGTGAGCTGATGACTTGGTGTGGGCTCATGACTTGGTGTGGGCTCATGACTTGGTGTGGGCTCATGACTTGATGTGGGCTTATAGTGTGGGCTTATGACTTGATGTGGGCTCATGACTTGGTGTGGGCTCATGACTTGATGTGGGCTCATGACTTGGTGTGGGCTTATAGTGTGGGCTTATGACTTGATGTGGGCTCATGACTTGATGTGGGCTCATGACTTGGTGTGGGCTCATGATTTGGTGTGGACTCATGACTTGGTGTGGGATTATACTGTGGGCTCATAACTTGGTGTGGGCTTATAGTGTGGGCTCATGACTTGGTGTGGGCTTATAGTGTGGGATCATGACTTGGTGTGGGCTCATGACTTGATGTGGGCTCTTGACTTGATGTGGGCTTATGACTTGGTGTGGGCTTATGGTGTGGGCTCATGACTTGAAGTGGGCTTATAGTGTGGGCTCATGACTTGGTTTGGGCTCATAAGTTGGTGTGGGCTCATGACTTGATGTGGGCTTATAGTGTGGGCTCATGACTTGGTGTGGGCTTACAGTGTGGGCTCATGACTTTATGTGGGCTCATGACTTTATGTGGGCTCATGACTTGGTGTGGGCTCATGACTTGGTGTGGGCTCATGACTGGGTGTGGGCTTATAGTGTGGGCTCATGACTTGGTGTGGGCCTATAGTGTGGGCTCATTACTTGGTGTGGGCTTATAGTGTGGGCTCATGACTTGATGTGGGTGCATGACTTGGTGTGGGCTCATGACTTTATGTGGGCAAATAACTTGATGTTGGCTTATAGTGTGGGCTCATGACTGGGTGTGGGCTTTTTAGTGTGGGCTCATGACTTGGTGTGGGCTTATAGTGTGGGCTCATGACTTGGTGTGGGCTCATGACTTGGTGTGGGCTCATGACTGGGTGTGGGCTTATAGTGTCGGCTCATGACGTGGTGTGGGCTTATAGTGTGGGCTCATGACTTGGTGTGGGCTCATGACTTGATGTGGGCTCATGGCTTTGGGGTGGGCTCATGACTTTATGTGGGCTCATGACCTGGTGTGGGCTTATAGTGTGGGCTCATGACTTGGTGTGGGCTTATAGTGTGGGCTCATGATGTTGGCTCATGACTTGATGTGGGCTTATGACTTGGTGTGGGCTTAAGGTGTGGGCTCATGAGTTGATGTGGGCTCATGACTTGATGTGGGCTTATGACTTGGTGTGGGTTAATGACTGGGTGTGGGTTCTTGACTTTATGTGGGTTCATGACTTGATGTGGTCTCATGACTTAAAAATTAACCAGTTAGTAAAATACTTAGTAACGGCGTAGCAGTGATACTAGCTTAAATAGTTACACTGGAGTGTACCATCAACCAAAGGGATTTCAGCTGTTTTATGTAGAGTTTAATCAAATTTCTCAAATTTCTCAATTAAACATATAGTTAGTGTCTCCAGTTTGGGCAGGCAGAAAACAAGAAAATGAGTTACGTAACAGTCTTTGGCTTGCTGTGTCTGGCGGTGTCAATACAAACAGGTATTTTGTTGTCTTTTAGCGCTTCAACGATGCACATTTATTATTTTAAATACGAGTAGCAATTGCAGCAAGTCAAAACAACCATGTCGTATAGTTTTAGCTGTTTGTACGAGGTCTTAGATTTAGATCGGACACCATTTTGGTTATTCACAACAATCTCTTTCTTGCCGTCTTTATATATATATATATATATATATATATATATATATATATATATATATATATATATATATATATATATATATATATATATATATATATATATATATATATATACCTGAATGGCTATTCTCAGAACTGACAACTAAAACCCCCTACATCATTACTGTAAAAACCGGCACGAAATTCGCTGCGGGAACCGACGCTACTGTTTTCATGAAGTTGAACGGCCTCAAAGGCACGACTAGCAAGGTTGTAATCGAAGACAAAAATGCAACATATTTTGAAATGAATTGTGCGGACCATTTCATTGTGAGTTTACGATATAACGCTTTTTGTAAGAAGTAACACTTAGTGACGAATGGGACACTTTGCCGCTAGTGTGATATTTTCTGACGTGTATCATACTGTGTCTTATTTGTGACATTATTTGTTGCGGCTGACATTTTGTGACAGTGTGCATTTTGTGATGTTTTTAACATTTTGTGACGTGTGTGACATTTTATTAAGAATGTGACATTTTGTGACGAATGTGACACTTTGACAGTGTGTAATACTTTGTATCATAATTAGTAAACGCTCTGACTTTTGGGACGTGTGTCATTTTTCTCGATGCTTGTGACACTTTTTGCCATTTGTGATACTTCTATGAGGTGTCGACAATTTGTAACACTTTGTAATATGTGTGACACTATCTGACGTGTGTGACATTTGTGGAGGTGCAGTACTCGTGACACCTATGACGATTAGCAAGATATATGACAATTAGTGACCAGTGCGACACCACGTGACGTAATCAAACTTTGAATTTCATGACGTGTGTAGTACTTTGTGACGTGTGTGAAAATTTGTGACATGTGCCACATTCTTGAAGTATGTAACACTTTGTCACGAATGAGGCACTATGTGACGAGTATAACAAATTGTGACAAGAACACTTTGTGATTTACATTGCATGATTTGACGTCACTCATTCTATGTTACGTACGTGATTGTTTGAAACATGTGTGCGACATTTTACAATTATTTAAAAAACATTATCCGTTATTTAACTTGATAAAAGGCCAGTACTGGAAAGTATTTAGAGATATAAGGCGGTATGTAAAAAGAGGTTATTAATATTTTAATATTTTTGAGTCAGTCTCTGTATGATAATATTCTAATGCTGGTCTGATTGTTGTGATGATCTCAATGTATTTGAAATATGTATAATGGATCCGATGGTGCTGAAACAGATCAACTCTACTTCATCCGCCGGATGTGTCTTGTGCACGAGCGGGAAAAGATGATAACGTATATTGGACATGATGTATTATTATCTTAATTAAGGTGTACTCAATGTTACGGTTTGTTGTATTGGGCACATTATGTTATGATTGTTGTATGCATGGTTTTTTTCAGATAATGGACGATGATGTTGGTCAGATAACTTCAATAGAGATCGGACATGACAACAGCGGCATCGGTCCAGGGTGGTTCCTTGACAACGTGAGTACATCTTTACTATATGTGATCTATGTGAGTACATCTTTACTATGTGTGATGAGTACATCTTTACTATATGTGATCTATGTGATTACAGCTTTACTATATGTGATCTATGTAAGTACATCTTTACTGTATGTGATCTATGTGAGTACATCTTTACTATGTGTGATCTATGTGAGTACATCTTTACTATGTGTGATCTATGTGAGTACATCTTTATGTGATCTATGTGAGTACATCTTTACTATGTGTGATCTATGTGAGTACATCTTTACTATGTGTGATCTATGTGAGTACATCTTTATGTGATCTATGTGAGTACATCTTTACTATGTGTGATCTATGTGAGTACATCTTTACTATGTGTGATCTATGTGAGTACATCTTTATGTGATCTATGTGAGTACATCTTTACTATATGTGATCTATGAGTACACCTTTATTATGTGTGATCTATGTGAGTACATCTTTACTATGTGTGATCTATGTGAGTACATCTTTATTATATGTGATCTATGTGAGTACATCTTTATGTGATCTATGTGAGTACATCTTTACTATATGTGATCTATGTGAGTACATCTTTACTATATGTGATCTATGAGTACACCTTTATTATGTGTGATCTATGTGAGTACATCTTTACTATGTGTGATCTATGTGAGTACATCTTTACTATATGTGATCTATGTGAGTACATCTTTATGTGATCTATGTGAGTACATCTTTACTATATGTGATCTATGTGAGTACATCTTTATTATATGTGATCTATGTGAGTACATCTTTATGTGATCTATGTGAGTACATCTTTACTATATGTGATCTATGTGAGTACATCTTTATGTGATCTATGTGAGTACATCTTTACTATATGTGATCTATGTGAGTACATCTTTATGTGATCTATGTGAGTACATCTTTACTATATGTGATCTATGTGAGTACATCTTTATGTGATCTATGTGAGTACATCTTTACTATATGTGATCTATGTAAGCACACCTCTACTATATGTGATCTATGTGAGTACATCTTTACTATATGTGATCTATGTAAGCACACCTCTACTATATGTGATCTATGTGAGTACATCTTTACTATATGTGATCTATGTGAGTACATCTTTACTATGTGTGATCTATGTGAGTACATCTTTATGTGATCTATGTGAGTACATCTTTACTATATGTGATCTATGTAAGCACACCTCTACTATATGTGATCTATGTTGGTACATCTTTACTGTCTGTAATCTAAAGATGGGAGCACACATTTTCTGTATGTTATCTCAATTATATGATTAAGCTCTTCTTTATCTCCACATTTTAAAACTAAACTAATAAGAAAAAAAAAAGAAAAGTAAAGTTTTCCATCAGGTGTTTGCTTGATTTTGTGCACCACGTTTTTATCATTTTTCTACTTAGGTTGAGGTAGCGCAAGTGATCGGTGTTTATGACAACATTACTGAAGTAAGTTATTCGAAGCTAAAGATTGTTGTTTTAACTGATATTTAACGCCCCATTCTTTTATTTTAGTTTATTCAAATTTCTCCATTAGATCTAAAGCCAATAATGCTTTTTACATTAGGGAACAAGCAAGTCTACTTGTTTTCCATCTGTTTACATCTTTTTTTTTGCTGCTATTCACGAAATAACAGAGATTAAAACCCTAATTAGGCCAATTAAATTTTTTTGTCCCGCAGGTACCTAGTTTAATTAAGACCCGGTTTGACCTTCAAGAATGGATACCCAAAGATGAGAAGAGCAAGAAACTAGTGAAGATCATAACAGCTACATCGACAGAGACCAAACCAATTTAAACTTAGTGTCAAGGGGATGTCTGTCATTGGACACTGTCCTAACAAGTTTGGACTTAAATATGTCTAGAAATACATCTCATAACTGTGTTTAAAAAAAGTCCCATGGCATTTACAACTATCAGAAATTTAAGTCTAGAAAAAGTTTTAAGCGTGGTTTAAATTTAACAATTATTTAATAAAAAATATGTACTGAAAAGTATTTAAGTTTAAATTTCTTTAAATATATAAAATGTTAATAGTAGTTGTTTAGATGATATATTCTAAATGATTGATGGTGAATAATACAAGTACATAAACACATACAGCAAAAGAATCTATTTGATCCACTTTGGTTTGTTTTCATATGATCAGTGATAACTCTGTTTACGAAGTTTAACAAATAACAGAAAAGGGGCGCTAACTTATACAATACCAGAGCGCATGACGAACATACTTAGTTCCCTTGTATACTTTGACATACAACACTCTGGGCACATCCATTGGAGACAACTTACTGGGCTGAGAACGTTTGAATCATGTTGATTCACACCTTGAACACACACATTGAACACACACACACAAACACATAAAAAACTTACGTAGTTGAACTCGTCTATCGCTTTGACCGAACCTAAGTAAAATAAATCAGAGCAATAAGTTGGACAAAAAAATCCTCTACATATGTACATGAACAACAACAACCCATCAGCCAGAGTTCGGCAAGGTTTTGAGACGGATTAGCCAACAGTTACAATTTACAAAATTTTCCAGTCTTTAAAGAGCCACTAGCATCTTGACATCACAAGAGCCGCATGCGGCCCGCGAGCCACAGGTTGCAGACCCCTGTATCAACGGTTCGGACTGTGGTCTAAGTTTTAAAGTATTATTTGACATTAAAATGTTGTGCTCTCGTTATCGAAACACAAACTGGGTGCTGATCCATTGTTGTCGTTCCCAAGCGGGATGCGCTTGATCAGTAATTCTTTCAGATATTTTTCTTCTGGGGGTGGGGCCACCAGAGTCCCTTCCAGGCATCTCTTCCAGGCTCCGCCTTCCCCCCCCCCCCACCCCCCGAAGAAAGTCTCCCGCCCCACGAACGAATTGGAATTTATGTAGAAAATATATAATCTAACATGTGTACACCCCCCTCAAACCCCGGTATATTTAATCCACCCCCCCAAGTATGAAAGAAACACAGGGGCACATCAAATTTACGGTGGGGGGGGGGGAGCGGTGGTAGACGATCTTCAAGTGGACAACAGATATTTTCCATTGTACATCGAAACTACAGAAATTAAAATTAAAAAAAGAAATTGTATGTAGGGGCCTACCTGTATGTTTAATCGCATACGCACCTGTATCTGTCAAATTACATCCAAAAATACACAAATGTATACATGTACACGATAGGCTACTGCAACTGCCCTTGTATCTGCAACTTTTCTTATGCCTAAATCCTATATAATAATTGCCTTATTTCGTCTGTCACGTCCGTAATTGTTATAGTAAATAAGTAACTGGAATTATTTTAAATATATCTTATTTAAGAACGCTACGGTCTCTCTGATAAAAATAAGTTTTTATATTGTATTTTATTGTATTACTTTACTTTACTTTCCCCAACGTGAAGCCAGGTACCCATCACAACCGTGTATGTCTAAGGGAAGTCCTACAGTCACTAGTCCGAATAGAGATCCAACCACCGGACTTTCTGGCTAGAAGCCAAACGCTCTAACATTCGACCACGCCGTCCCAAATAGAATAAGTAATTGTGTGAGAATACTTCTCTGTTCCACGAAGACAGAGTGGAGAAAATAATATTAATGTAATTAAAAAACGACCACTATATCATATCAATGCCTCCTTCTACTACAACCTACAACTGCGCTCTCCCAATACAACCTACCAATACATCCTCCGACTACAACCTACCACTGCTAACAAGCTATACAACCTACCACTGCTAACAACCTATACAACCTACCACTGCTAACAACCTATACAACCTACCACTGCTAACAACCTATACAACCTACCACTGCTAACAACCTATACAACCTACCACTGCTAACAACCTATACAACCTACCACTGCTAACAACCTATACAACCTACTATGTCCTCCCACCATTCTCTACTATAACAATATAACATTGCAACCTAGCAAGTCACAGGTTGTTTGAAAAACTCAATAGCTAATTGCAATTAGATAGAAAAAATATTGATGCTAATCTCATCAAATCTAATCAGAGAATGTAGAAAAATAAACAATAGAGTTAAACCAGATTTGTTATATGACTAGTATTTGTTTTCAATATGTTAAAATTAATTAAATTTGTTATTGACATTTTTTAAAATTGTGGGCTGGTGTGGGCACGTGGCTAGTGTGTGGGCATGTGGGTAGTGTGTGGGCATGTGGCTAGTGTCTGGGCATGTGGCTAGAAGTGTGTGGGTCTAGGTCTTGGTGTGGGCATGTAGCTAGAGTGAGGGTATGTTGTTTGTGGTTAGAGTGTGGGTATGTGGCTAGTGTGTGGGTATGTGGCTAGTGTGTGGGTATGTGGCTAGTGTGTGGGTATGTGGCTAGTGTGTGGATATGTGGCTAGTGTGTGGGTATGTGGCTAGTGTGTGGGCATGTGGCTATTGTATGGGCATGTGGCTAGTGTGTGGGTATGTAGCTACTGTGTGGGTATGTGGCTAGTATGTGGGTATGTGGCTAGTGTGTGGGTATGTGGCTAGTGTGTGGGTATGTGGCTAGTGTGTGGGTATGTGGCTAGTGTGTATGTGGTTAGAGTGTGGGTCTAGGTCTTGGTGTGGGTATGTGTCTAGTGTATGTGTATGTGGCTATAGTGTGGGCATGTGGTTAGAGTGTGGGCTCACTGCTGGCACACATCATGGCTGAGTCCTCCTACGTTGATGGTGGGTGTGGGCATATTTTATTTAATTAAATTTAGCTTGGCATACCACAGAAAGCTGAACACCCAGTTACTGAATATGTCAGTTTAGTATATCCAAAGCTAACGTTACTTTACAGAAAAGTTTTAAAAGGCTAAACAAATAACCTACGAGTTGTGCATAAAAAAAACACTTTATAACAATATATATTACATAACGCTGAGAGAATAATAATATTAATAATTCAGTATTTTACTGCATAAATAATTATAAATTAAAATTAAAAATCACCTTAAACAGTTAGGTTAAAGCTAAATAAGATAACAGTGTAACAGTGATCATCATCATCATCGTTGACCGTTCCTACCCAAGACGCATGGGGCAGACGAAGTAGAGTTCAGCTGCTCCAGAAACATCGGCATGTGAAGGTATTGTGTTGTCAGCACTATGCCCAGCCGCCTTTGTTTCCCTAACGTTTAGTTACGTACCCATCAGAGCTGTATGGACTCAGTGACCTTCCTCTTTCGGGTTAGGGTTAGCAGTTTAGGCAAAGCCGTCCCTTTGTAGCAGTGATACTAGCTTAAATAGTTACACTGGAGTGTACCATCAACCAAAGGGATTTTAGAATTTTATGTAGAGTTTAATTAAATTTCTCCATTAATCATATTGTTAGTGTCTCCAGTTTGGGCAGGCAGAAAACAAGAAGATGAGTTACGTAACAGTCTTTGGTTTGCTGTGTCTGGCGATGTCAATACAAGCAGGTAATGTGTTGTCTTTTAATGCCTCAATGCAGCACGTTTCTAATTTCAATTGTACCCATTGTTAATTCAACACAAACAATCTCTCTCTCTCTCTTTCTCTCTCTCTCTCTCTCTCGCTCTCTCCCTATCTCTCTCTCTCTCTCTATATATATATATATATATAAATATATATACACTTCGGGGGCAAGTGGCTTTCGGGCAATTGTCTATTCAGGAATTCATCGTAGACTCATATATATATATATATATATATATATATATATATATATATATATATATATATATATATATATATATATATATATATATACTACCATAATATATATTTACTTATACACACATATGTGGGTGTGTTAATGTGTTGTTACACCTATATGTTTATTCTAAGGATCGACAAAAGATATTCCCTACTACATTACTATAAAAACCGGCCACAAATTAGCTGCCGGAACTGACGCTAAAGTTTTCATTCAGTTGAATGGCCCTAAGGGCACAACTGGCAGGATAGTGCTGGAAGAGCAGAACTCGAAATCTTTTGAAAAGGGTAGCGTGGACCAGTTCACAGTGAGTTATCGATGTCGTTCTTTGTGTTATGAGTGTCACTTTTTGACTTGTGTGACAATCAGTCATGTGGGTCATACCTTGTGACATGTGTGGCTTTGTGTGAGGTGACATTGTTTGTGTGAGGTGTAACATTTTGTCACGTGTGTGCGACTACTGTGACGAGTCTGACATAAGTGACGTGCAGGGGCGTAGCGAGGCGGGGCGGGGGGGGGGGGGGGGGGGGGTGCTGACCTTATATGAGCTATATTTCCAAAAATACTTTTGTCGAACGACCCCCCTTGATATTTTGTGAGGTGATAGAAGAACGCATATGGATCAGAAGCGTAGCGAGGGGGGGGACATATGTCCCCGGGCGCCGACCTTAGGGGGGCGCTAAATTGAAAGTTTGACGGGGGGTGCAAATGAAAAGTTCGATGGGGGTGCAAATCGAAAGTTTGAGGGGGGGGGGGGGGTGGTGCAAATGAAAAGTTCGTGGGGGGGGGGGGGGGGGGGTGCAAATTGAAAGTTTGAGGGGGGGGGGGCAAATGTAAAGTTCGAGGGGGGGGGGCGCAAATCGAAAGTTTGTCCCCGTGCGCCGGGAGGGGTCGCTACGCCTCTGATATGGATGTCAGACAAAAACTCGGCATATACGGGAAAGATCTACAAATGGATCAAAGCTGACCAGTCGTGTTTCCATATATAATCTTTGTATTTTATGTGAAAAACAGTTATTTCAACACAGATTTTAGGGTACTTACCCTCTGTACATCAGGCTAATTTTTGGCGAGCACCTAGATAAATTGTTAAACCGTATGAAAAAATTGTCGGTGGGACTCAAAGCCCTCAATGAGGGCTAAAAATAGACTGCAAGTGAAATTCGCATTATATGAGCTATACATCGAAAAAAAACTTTTGCAGAACGACCCCCTTTGATATTTTGTGAGGTCGTGGAAGAACGTCTAGGGGTGTCATACAAAACTCGCCATATCTCAGAAAACTTCCTAAAGTGGTCAAAACTGACTAGTCGTATTTCCCTATTCAATCTATGTATTTTATGTGAAAAACACAAGTTAATTTCAAC